AAAAAAAAAAAAAAGGTTCGACTATCAGTCGACTACGGCAAAATCGAACGAATCAGATTCGACTATGAAAATCCTTAGTCGAAAACAGCCCTAGCATTTACTATTGCTTCTTTTCTATATATATATAATCATTCGTATCTTTTCACCTATTATTATTAGCTATAAGATATAATACTATTTGATATCACTTGTAATACGAGGTTATTTTGCATTGCTTTTGATACAATATCTTGGTTTTGATGTTAATGCAAGGTTATCATGTATTACTTTTAATAAAGTGTTTCTGTTAGAACCTAAGTGTGCCTGTTTGTTCCTTCGAAAGCCCTATATCCCCCTCTCGTTCTGAAACAATACTATTGTGTCCTGGTGCAGTGAACATGAAATTCAGCCTTACGCATAAACAGACCATTAAGTTCAGCCCGCACCCTGGAGATTTTGTTCTTCCTCGCCCTGTCCTCCTGTTCAGCAAGCTTATTACGCAGGTGACCGACTTCAGATCCACTTAGCCTTGAAAAATATCAAAGGATTTGCCAAGCGTCTGCTGTTCCTTCTTTAAATTGCAGACATCGGCCTTCAAATCAGTATAGTTTCTTTGGAAAGTGGATGTCAAATTCGCATGAAGAGCTTCAATCTGCTCTTTAACAAAGTCCTTCAGCTTGCCAGCATCCAAACTCACTGCCCCAGCACTGTCAGCCATGTTGCCAACACGTGTGTTTTTTTGCGATTTCTTTGCTGGGCAGGCTGTCAAAGATTGAGTGTTCTGCGCCCCGAACGATTCATATTGCCACTACAGTTATGTGATTAAATTTTAAAAAGTAAACTTAATTGAAAATGTTTGAGAGTCATATGAAAATCAGGGAATCAAGGAGTGGGATGCCGCCATTCACCACCAAATGTCACATGGTCTTTAAGCAGAGACTCGTCTTCTAACCCTGACTTTCTTAAACTTTCATGATAGAGGCCACAGAAGTTCAAACTCAAAGGTGGAAGAAACAAACTCTTAAAAGTGGGCGTGGCAAAATTAGGTGAATAGAGGGGATTATGATCAGGTTACTTGGAAAAAAAATCTTTGTACACAATATGCTCATGGCCACCTGTCCACTGGCTGGAGTGTCTAGTGTCTGTATGCATGTAGAATTCAATGAGGCCCCAAGACACCCTTTACCTTCAGAGGAGGCAGTGGACTGCTCCGTAGCTGGTACAGTCACTGCTGACTTGGTGCAAATAACCTTTGTCGGACCATTGTGGGATTGAGGGACTGCAGCATGTGATTCAACATGCCTGCAGAGCATCCAAAAAATGTGCAATGAAATACATGTGAATGTAATAAAATACTGTTACATCATCTCCTGATATTCTTTTTGACCTTTAAAATTTACAGCAACTTCGATCAATATATATGGGTATGCAGCGGTGCTGACAGAGATTTTGGCTCCCATGACATTTAGTAGAAAAATACATACAATACATACATATATAATACCATGTACAACGTATAATACATAGAAATGTAAAAATAATAAAACCTTAATTACCTTAATTAAATTTTTCTGTTTAATGTGTTAGTCACATACAATTCAGTTGTTAAATATTCTCCAGAAAGTTATTGCTGATGTAAAGTTTGTAATTTGTTAGATTTTAATTTGTGTTTTTATATCTCACATATCTTTAATTTCTGCTTTTTATATCTTTCATATATGCTGGCAGTTTCTGCATACACAGTTCAACTCCACAGCAGAATAATGACACAGTTTGCTTACAAACTCTGAGGATAACTGATTATAATCCTGAGTGTGTGCACACTGTTTGTGTTAATTAATACTCACTCCTCCTGCAGAGAGTCTGTTTCTTTACTTTTGTACCTCAGCAGTGCTGACCGCACCATGTTGACCGCTTGATCATTTTCCTGGCATTCCAGCAGCCCTACTGACTCATGGAAGATGCAGTGGACGACTTGCACTATGTTGCTACTGCACGGTTCCACTATGATGTTGGTCATGTGACTGGGGTTGTGACAGTGGTGCATGAACACCAGGATGGCAGGTTTGTCTTCTGTGGAAGGGAGAAACCAAACAGGTTACTGTGGGCACTGATAGATGCTGTTGCTTCCCTTCCTGGTTTTTTACATGTTAAATAAGGTGAAAACAAAGAAAAGCTGTGAAATTTGCTTCCTAGGATTGGCTCTTGGCTCAGTATTAACCTGTAGTGCACAAATGGTCATGGAAGGATGGATAGAAAACCTATAAAAGCCAAGATCCTTTGAAGTAAGGAAATTTATTACACATATTCAGAATCCAGGCTGACCTGTGTGTTTGTAAAAGATTTGGTGAGAAACAAATAATGATGATTCAGATTCAATGTTATTTTAATACTGTATGTGCACTGTTGTAGAGGAACCACACATTGCAGAACTGTGTCAGACGTTGCTGTCACCGTCACTACCACACTAAAATAAAATATAGCTCCCTGGACCTGGAACCGGATGGATGGATGGTTGGTTGCATAGACCTGTGCTGTTATTATGCACATAATGAACAGTCAGGTTCATTTTGAAGTTAAATTCCATTTCTTTGTCTGATTGAACCCATCCATCCTTTACCCCCACTTATCCTATACAGGGTCACTGGGGTGCACAGCCTATCCTAGAAGTTGCAGGCACAAGGCAGGGAATAACCCAGGATGGGGCGTCAACCCATCACAGGGCACGCATACACACACCATTCACACACATGTACAGCTATGGACAATTTGGCAGCTCCTATTGACCTTAGCATGTATTTGGACCATGGTGGGAAACCGGAGAACCTGGAGGAAACCCCACAATGAAAAGGGGAGAATATGCAAATTCCGCACGTCTGAAGCTAAAGCACAGACTGTAACCAAGAGGTTAGGGGCAACAATGTGAACCACTGAGTCACCATCTTATTATTCTAAAAGTAAAAATCCAGTTTTATTGGTTAATTTTTATGTACCAGATTATCTACCAGTGAAAAAAATAATTTGTGATACACCAAATATTGTGAATGTGTGCAAATGGTGTGTGCGTGTGTGTGTGTATGGGGCGCCGTTTGTAAAGTTACGAAACATTTTTGTACTTGCCACTTTTTCAACATTTAGTGCAATTTTCTGACATTTAGCTAGAAGTCAATGGCGTTGTGGATCATCATATTTTTTGCTGTGTAGATTATTTGCACAATTGTTCATCATATGTAAATATAAATGGTATGTCTATA